CGACGTCCTTTTCTTTCAAAAAGAGCGGCTGTTCGACAAGCTTGAAGAATAAAATCTTGCCGTCGCTAAGTAAAATTCAGCGAAAGTCCGACGAAATAAGCTCTCGCCCAAAAACAGCCGATTAAAAGTTTCACGGACCCCAAACAAAAAAAAAAAGTAGTTTCGTAATTTAAAAAAAGTCACTTTTATTTATCTGACTCCCGCTCGGAAAAGAGATTCATTTCGCGAGAGTTCCTTGAAACCCGATACGACAGTAAACGAAGAAAAATCCAGGAGGAATCTGAAAAGCGAGACGAATCGTAGGCGAATCTTTCTATAGTCACTCAATTATTCTTATCATCGAAACGAATCTCTTCGCGACCGACTCATTCCCGTAGCCTATCTCTTATCATTCTACCAACCTTATCTGCCGCCGATTTTCTATTTCGATTTAACCCAGATATTATACATCGTCAAGCTGGATTGTGATTGCCCGGTTTGGTCGCTCAAGAAGTTAGACACACTTGTGCAAACATCAAACGTCAAGTTTTAAATGATTAATTTCGACTGATAATAGATAATTTTAATTATATCAAACTCTTGACATTCATCGTGATGGTTGATACTCATTACATAAAAATTTTTGAAAGTTTAGTTTAATTAAAATAGCATAGTTGAACTAAATATTAATGAACTGAAAATTGAAGAAAGCGTAAATAAGAATTTTTTTCGAAATCAGATGTCAAGTTCATGCATTATTAAATATCTAGGGTATTACCCATGTACATAATCATCTTTTTAATAACTTTTTATGCTCGAATAGAAGCGCGGTATTCCCAATGATAATTTATTATCGACTTTAACAACCATCAACCGCATACGTAATATATACGTTATATATTTGATGATAAATGCAATATACATTTACGCAAACTTGACTTGACGATAACGAATATTGCAATATTTTCAAGAACTGACTGTGCTGTTTATAAGAAACTGCAATTATAAAAAATTTTAACAAGCTGCATTAAAAAAAAAGTATGTGTACTTAATATTATCTATAGATTAAATTTTCTTAGAAGTATCAATTCGATATAAATTATGTTATGCGTAGTATGTTTTATAAATCAATAAAATTCTAAAACACGACTGACAACATAATTATTGTAATTATACCAGATTAAAGTATACATGTATATATTTACAAAAAAATTCAATTTAATAGATTAATTAAACAAAAAGTAGATAAAGATTAATCATATACATGATAATCTGTACATAAAACGAAGTATACGCAATTAAGTAATACGTTTTCCAACGTTTGTTTTTCAATGTTATTATACTTTCGCAATAATTCTGTTTACGGATACTTAATATATATCTTGCATAATCAGCGACACATGTTATAGATACATGCTTTTATCTTGAAAAACATTTAGCAGATGTTAAAGGTGTAATTTTTTCGCGGAAAATTACCAAGTTCACGAAACGCAACGAAAGGTCGATATACATACAGAGCCAGAATATCCAATATGTATGTGTATACCCTTTCTATTATCGAGACGTTCATAAACGCATTCGCGATCGTCGATCATTTCGTAAGTGATTTTAACCGTTCGTAAAATAAAATCGGCAAACATTCGAGGTCACTCGAGGCATGTAACGTAACGGAACAGCTGACATACACGAAAAACCCGTGCGTCCCCACATTCCGCAAAAAAGATTAATGCGACTAATATATTGCATATTCGTGAAGTGCTCCCTCCCCTTTCGTTATAAAACTGTTTATCGCGAACGTGATTTTATGTTACAGCAAAGTAACAAAAACTGAATATGATTTATGCGTGATAAATGTCCGTTGATGAGTTCGTCCGTCGATGCAGTATCGCGCCATCCACTCGTACATATATTAACGTAATGAAAAAAAAAAAGAAAAAAAAATAGAAAAAACAATTCCGCGAACGAACCATTTAAATAGTGGATTTTCCGCAAGCTATAATGTTAACGGAAACGCATTTTTATCGGCGGCGTGCGCTTATCTCCCCTTATTTGCTACGTCCTGTTATTATCCATCTTAAAAATCATCGATATCAATATGCACTAATAACAAGTCGAGCTTTGTCGTGGTTCTACAATTGCTATAACAAATAAACGTAGAATCCATAAAGTATCTGCAGAAACGGTGCTACTTTTAAAAAAAAAAACTATGCAACAATTAAAAATAATTATTAAGTGATTTCGCAAGGTTCAAACTTTTAAATATCAATAATAAATTAATTACATTAAGATGAGAGGAGTGTTGCTTAATTAATGCATATAAAATAAATTCCCATTTAAATAATATCGCATATTAATAATATATTGTATTATTTTAATCTTACACTCAACAATCTATTAATTTCGTTCTCGTCCTATATAATTTGCTGATTCGAATAATTAATTCAAAATAATTAATTCAAAATATACTCTTCGCTTATGCTACTACAGAGAGAACTGTGTTTATCCTATTTTTCCAAGCTACAGAGGATAACCGGTTTCACCTTCAAGATAAAATCATTCAATGTCGAGGTTAACAAAAATCAAAATAAAATTATACAAATGTGATTTAAAGCGTGTATTAAAGGAATCGAAAAACTTCCGTACGAAAACTTTCCGCCTCTCGATATTCTCGACTGGTTTTTGTCTTATCGCGAGCACGATATTTCATCGACGATATTTCGGCAGAGCGTTGGTACGCGACTTTCCAAATTGAAGTCCATCGATTGGACTTGGTTAAAGAAGAACCGATGTGGAAACTGAAGAGATAGCGAGTTCGATTCTCTATCGCGGAGCTATTTAGGCAGAAAGGAGATTGTCACGGAGATTACAATTTCCGTCTTCGACAGCAGAATCTACATCGCGGCCTTCCTTCACGGTCACTGAGACAGAGGTACACGTCACCGCTGCTTACATCAGCGTATGCGATCAGCTGCGTTTCTCTCGTGGAGAATCAATTATAATCAAGATTTAATTGTTATCTTATCTGATAAACAGCGTGATTGTAACGTTGTATTGTCTACGGAAAATTTCTGAATAATATTATGGTTTGTTGTGATTATATACGAGTCTAGCAAAGATTTTATAACGGACCCTATGGATCTAATATTGTAATTTCATTCTAAAAAGACATTTTAAAAACCCGAATGTAATATAAAAATTTCATACCACATATTTGTATATGTTTTTAATTTTTAAAACATGTTTTTTAAAAAGATTGTTAGAAAATGAACCAACCGAATCATGTGCTTCTTGCGCATTTTATGCTGACTCTTGATTGAGTAATAAAACGAGAGGTCGAGCCTGTGTGCTTTACGATGAAGATGTAATGAAAATCTAAAAATATCGCGAATCTCTCTTCTACATAATATATCATTTTCCGAACAAATTACAATCTCCAAAAATTACTATATAGCTAATCAAGGTAATACATTATATGAATACATATATAATAGCATATTTGTGGTAAAAAAAATATGACGAAACAGCATAAGTGAGCAACAGGAAATGTTTTGTGATTGCAAAAGACACGAAAAATATGACAACGTTGTATGTCAATGTCTATTTCGAAATCAATCGCGCTTCCTCAATTTAAAAATTCAAATGCCATTAAAAATTTTCTATATTTCTCAAGAAAAAAAAAATAGAAATTAATGGATTCAGCTGTTCATCGCAAAAATGATGGGACTCATTGCCTGTCGCATTCATTTGGAATGAAAACCGTATCGGCGAGCGTAACCGAATGAGATAATAGAGAGTTTCATGAGAATTTCAATTTAGAGTTTTATCAGGTTTATACTATTTAACTCAGCGCGCACTCAGTACGCAGATAAATCTCATACGAGATTGGTTGAAAATGTATTGAATTCAACTCTTTGTCAATTTCGATTTCAAATGTTATCGTGCGGTACGAAAGTTTTCTTTGAGTGCTGCATGTTACCAAAGCGGAGAAGCGGAAAAATTTATATATATTTCTCGATTTCTAAATAAGATTATCAAAATATAATATAAAGATCACGTAAAAATAATTTCTGACAAAAATGATTACATTTCTCTATCAAATATCGTTATTAAAAGTGAAATTAATATTAACGAACAAGTTTAGTAAAAACGTGCCAACTGTACAACAGCATTTCTTCTTCAAATATTAATTTGCATATCCAATTTATGAGAAAGTATCAATTTTTAGCTGATTTTCACACTTCTCAATTCTCACGAATGATTAAAATAGAATTTAATTAAAGTATAAAACCGTTTCTCTCTCATCACAATATCGAATTATTATACCTTCTATAGAGAATTAAATTCTGTAATTTGAATTTGCATTCAAATTTACTGTAAGTGATAATGTCAAGTAAATAAATCTCGATTTTAACGTCAATGTTGTATATTAATCGAGTCAGAAACTAAATGGCGTAGATCGTTTATTTGATTGTTGCCAGAAGAACATGCCATTAAATCTCTTGCCTCATCTCGAGTGTATTGTATAATTTACCTTCTCGGTGATATTATCCTTGTTTATTCCATTGTTTGATCTAGCAACATTCTGACTTTCAACGAATTAATTGATAAATAATATTCAGAATATTATTGTACCGTAATTGTAGTGTATTAATTCAGTTTATAAATTAATTTATTCAAAATTAATTTTTATTCAATCTAAAAAAAAAAAAAAGAACCATTGTGTAAATCGAAATGTATTTGAACCGATTCTTCTCGTTTTAATAATCAATTATTAGCCAATAATTTGATCTCATAATCTTTTTGTTTCGTCACGGTTGATTAATTAAACGATATCACTCGAGATTATCAGAGGCAGTTGTTGAAATGACAGACAAAGATGCGATCATTCTCGCTTGATGCATGCGAAACAAGATCTTTTTCGCAACCGTGCGCGTCGCTCGAAACGTACGATTGCGAAAATTACTGAAAAAAAAGGCAAATCCAGAATCCTGTCAGCGGGATACTGGATTCGCGACACTGACCTTGCCCAAATAGCGAAAATCGTAGTCCTCGGCGACCCGCTTGGCCACCTCTTCTCCTCCGTCGACGTGTGCGGCCCACTGGTTGGTATACGCGCGTGCTGGACCGCCGAAAGTCAACAGGGCCACGACCGCCAGTCCGAGAATCCGCCGCGTGCACATGATAGCACCTCCGCTGCACCGACGATCGCCACCGGCTGCTCCAGTTTCGCCGCCTCCGCGGGCCGCCGCTATCATCCAGCACTATATATATATCCACCGCCAACACCACCGCCACCGTCGCCACCGCTTCCACGGCTTACCGAGGTAGCAGCGACACAACGGTAACAACGCGCCACCACCACAAATAACACTACGGTCGTTACGACGCACCACGGTTACCCCGGAACGGAAGTAAAGAAGAATTTACAGCCCTAACAGGAGACTAACGTGCGCCCCTTCTCCTTTTCTCTTTCTTGATTTCTCTCGGCCGATTTTTCCTGTATCTGCTGAGTCTCTCCGTAAAGGAATCCCCGCATACACGCGCGATCCAGGAAGACGCGACCACGCACTCACGCGCGCGCGTACACACATCTGATATGCGCTGGCTTCATGGTTTTTAGTCAAAGTCTACACCTAATGACTAACTCGAATGTCCATGATGATGTCGATAATGCGAAGATTAAGCGCGTCACATCCAGTTACAAAAACAATTTACTAATTTGAATACCGAAATGATTTCTCGATATATTCGAGAATATTGCAGAATAAAGTTTATCATATTAAAATAGCTATTGATTTTATTATTCATGTCAATGCAACCAATTTATTCGAAAAGATTTTTATTATTTTAATCATGATATATTTGACTCTATTTAATCTCTACGAACAAATTTTCCTTCTCTTTAACTTCCCTTTCAAGTACATAAACACGCGCATATATCTGATTTATCTCAGCGAAATCCCCCTTCAATCACTGAGACAAATAGCTGTCTAATCATCATCGTAAAATCAAACACTATTTTATGTTTATATCCACGTGCGAAGAAAAGCGCATCGAATTTCATCACTAAAATACGAACAAGGGCACCGACAGGCTTTTGATCGGCCCTGATAGTTGCGGTACGAACATATCCCTTCCATCCTGCTCTCTTCCTTCTTCTTCCGCTTGTTCCCTCTCCACATACGTGCATGTATATATAGGGTGGTCCAGAACGACCGTGATTTTCTTGAGAATAACCGTTGACAATAGAAAAAATGATAGAGGAAAAGGATGTATGATATAACTTTCCTCTTCCGTTGATCATCTAACAAATCATTTCTTTCTTTCTCTTCCTTTCTCCGCAACTTTCCAGTCACGTGTCTAGTATGCCTTCCTCTTCTGTACTTTTGCGACCCTGATTCATCTCGTTTCCCTTCTCCGCAAAGGCAATCGTGCGACGAGGAGGCAACGAATGCGAATGCTAAACAACACAAAGCGTGCATTCCGATGGAAGGAATGGGAAGTTACACCCTTCGTTCTTTCTTCCTTCTTTCTTTGAAGCTGCAGGTAGCTCCTTTTAAATCTATATATATATATATATATATACTCTCGCTGTAGATGTGTTTCGCATTGACGTTGTCCAGTACAATTTAATCAATGCAAATAAGAAATAGAAAAAATAATCTTATGTCTTTACGATTTGCTCACCGAATTTGTAATAAATAAGAATTTGTTTCTGAATACAAATATATATATATATTAATTTCATTAATTTTAAAAAGAAAACGTCCTCGTTTTGAAGATTTGAGATTTAGTTTATATACATTTTCTGATATTTTGGAATAAGTTGATTCGGTGGTGTATCCCTTTCTAAAAAAGAAACCTCGAACTCGAATATATCGAAGCATTGAAGCCTTTTTTTCCGTGATGCTGATTGGCTGTGCGCTGCGATTTGCTTTACATGTATTATTTGCGACTGTCAAATCATGCGAATTTTGACAGTTTGACAGTTTGTGATAGAAAAAGTTAAAGTTAGGAAAGAAAAGTTTAAAAAATTAGTAAATGTCCATGTAATATTCATATATATATATAAATCTAAACTTTTTTTTTATATTTCAGAATAATTTTATCTTTAATAATTGTTTTTATTTAATGACTAATAATATTATTAATCACTACTTTAATTAAAATAATAAGATTTTAAGTTAAATTAAACTTTAAACTTTCAAGGTTTAATATATAAAATATATATTTTTATAAATCTTAATATATATATAATAAAAACAAAAAAAATTATTAAACATAAAATTATTCTGAAATATAAAAAAAAGGTAATTTTTTTAAATTAATAAAATAAAATTTTATAAAAGGATTATTAAAAAGTTTAGATTTATAAAAGGATTAAATATATAAAAAATTTAGATTAAATTATAAAAAGTTTAGATTTATATATATATGGAAAGAAAAGTTAAAAAAATTGGAAAATGTCCGTAAAAAAAAGCCTGTGTTGTTCTAGTATAATAAATTATATATATTATGAGGTTTGCGACTAAAATTGCATCACACTGTGTATTTGTTCCACTTCATACTTCCGCCAATAAGGAAACCTTCATTCTTCAAAATCAGTTGTATATGTGTGGTGAGGGAAGCTTCGAAAACAAATCTATCAAATGCTTGAGTAGAACAATTTTTCTAGTGTACGATTTGAATCTTATCTCCCAAGATTTCTCTTTTCGATGCTTATTTCAGCTTAGCCTTCCTTTTTATCATTTTTTCGCGCCTAACTATACGGTTTCTTTTGGGGTCATCTTCGATCGAGTACCTCAGCTCTTAAATTCGTTTCACAACGATACTGACAAAAACGCCGTCACGTAGAAGAGACCTACTACCATCGCCGTTATCGGCGAACACATAGATATTCGATAGATCGGATATTATACGGATCCTCGTTATCGGCCCTTTTCTAAGCGCGCATCCTACGCTCCGCAAATCAAACGATGCCGATCTTCCGACATATTTCAGCTTTTTATCGTCTTGTTACCGCACAGGGACGTGTAAAAGAAAATTTTTCTTTCATCATTGTATCTCTTACGCTTCTGAAAAGAAATTTGATAATAGTTATGAAGATTATAGAAATATTAAATATTGAAAAAATATTTATGCACGTATTATTTTTGATATAAAACATACAATTGTTGTTAGAACAATATTGCATAAATAAGTTATAATGTTAATTTTTTATACAGAATAACGCAGATATTTAAATACAATATGTGAATCTAAATGCGATATATATATATATATATATACGATGCATAGTGGCATTTACATTCTTTATGATATCATTAAAATTAAATTACCAAATAATTATCAATCCGTCATTTGGCAATCAATAGAAGAAGAAATTTACGTAGGAAATGATAATGGACGTACAATTTACATTTCGCCAAAATCACCGGCTAAACCTTCAATATTTGTGGCCATTTAACATGAATAATCGATACCTAAAGTGTGAAATCTTGTATGCCGTATTTTTTATATTCCACAGACGATTCAATTATTATTCTTGAGCGACGTTCTTCATGAATAAAATAATACGCAAGATCCGTAATAATT